TACACTATTGGGTGTGCAATCCAAGGTAATGGCCATACCACACAGAGTTCATAAGACCACACTCGTGGTTATGACCTTTATTAAGGAAGTTAACATGTTACAATTCAGGTTAGCAGGACACAATTCCTCAGTCATAGCTGCTTCTCATGCATGATCACAGGTCCTTCAGCCTTCCTTCAGTCTTGGGACGTTAGGCCAGTGTCTCAAAGCTCTCTTGTTGCCATTGAGTCACAGTGACTCATAGCGACCCTATGTACAACAGCCCTAAAACCCTGCTCTACCCTGTGCCAATCTTATTGTCTCTGATATACCTACCCCTATTACCCCAGTCACTGAATCAATCCATCTAAAGCTCTCCTGGTCCTGCCAATTAGAAACTCTCCACCCTCACCCCCCAGCAAGTTTGGGTGAAGGTACTTGACCCTGGCTCCATGGAGCAGCAGTCCTAAGGCAGCTCTGTCTCATGTCGGTCTCTGATTCTCTGCTGAGGCTGCTGCTGCTCTTATGTAGGTCTGGTCTGACAGGTGAAGGAATCTCTAAACCCAAAGAATATGCACGGTATACTTCTTCCTTTCTGGTTACTGTTGTTATGTGCCATCGAGTCACCTGCAACTCTTAGTGACCTTATCTATAGCAGTTCTGAAGCCTGCCCTGTCCTGAGCCAGTCTCACTGACTCCGACACACCTACCCTAATTGCCTCAGTTACTGTGTCAATGCATCTCATCTGAGGTCTTCCTCTCCTGCACTGTCCCTCCACCCTTCTGAGCATGCTGCTCTCCAAGGATTGGTCCCTCCTGGCCACATGCCCAAAGTATGGGAGATGGAACTTCAAAATCCTAGCCTCCAAGGAGAAACTTGGTTTCACCCTCTCCAAGACAGACCTATTAGTTTTCTTGGTGGTTCATGGTATGATCAAGACTTTTCTCCAGCACCACAACTCAAAGGCATCCATTCTTCTTTTGTCATCCTTGTCATTGTCCCGCTCTTTGATGCATAGCAAGTAATTGTGAAGACCATGGCCTGGATCAGGCACACCTTAGTCTCTAGACTGACATTGCAGCATTTCAGTACTCTGGAAAGGTCCCTGACAGCAGATTTACCTAATGCAATTGTCTTGATTTCCTGACTTGCTGATGCCAAGTGGCTGTAGAACTGAGCAAGCTATAATTGTTAACAACCTCAATGTCTTCTCCATCCATCATGGTGCTGCCAATTGTGGGTTTTTAGAAGCAGTAAATTGCAGGGGAGGAGGTTGCCCATTTCCCCCCTGCAAAACACCTGGTGGATTTGACAGTGTGCCTTCAGGATTGCAACAAAGCTTCTTACCACTAGGACACCAGAGCTCCTCAGCCGTGTAGTCAAAGTCAGTGACTACAAAAGCCCTTTAAAACAATAAGCTGACTGTTCCACAAAGATTGTAGAATTTTATTTCTGTCTGTAGACTTCTGAAAACAGAATTTCACATTGTACTCTGATGTGAGTTTACTTTCATCATATTGTAGTTACTTTATTGACCTTTTGAATCTGTAAATTCAACCCCTTAACTTCTGGGGTGTTCTGTCATCGTTGTTGATACTGTTATGTGTCACAAAGTCAGCTAGGACTCACAGTGACCCTATGAACCCTGTCCTATCTGTGTCACCCTCACTGTCTCTGGCATGCTTGAGCCCTTTGCTATCATCACTGTGTCAGTCTATCGTGTGTGTGTGTGTGTGTGTGTGTGTGTGTGTGTGTGTGTGTGTGTTGAGGGTATCTTGTTGAGGGTCTTCCTCTCGTACTCTGACCCTTCACCTTTCCAAGCATGATGCTTTTCTATGATTTTGAAATACCTTCTTTTTTTCCTGGAACTCTATTATTATTTGAAAGTTGGATTTTCAGGATTGATCCTTTATTTTTCTTATCTTTTCTTTCTTGTTTCCCCATTTTACTCTTTGTTCTTCTTTTAGAGATCTTTAACTTTCTTTCTTTAAAAATACATTTACTTTCCCCTCTACTTTTGTCTTTATGGTTTTTATTTTCAAGAACTCTTTCTGCTTGCTTTCTTTTTTATAGTTTCCTAATCTTATTTCTTATATGACACTATTTTTTTTTCATTTCTGCATTCTTTTTATAGGCTAGCTAATACATAACTTGTGAGATTGTGAGACCTATGCAAGTCCTTGTTTAAAGAAAATGCAAAAGTATGGAATGTTTTAACATAAATCTTGGGACTATATAAAAGTGACAACCTTCAAAATTCCCTATGTTCTATCATATGGCAAGCTAAAAATTCATTTACTACTCAGTGTTTTTATTCATTCAGCCAGAATTTTGCCCCAATCTCCTTTAATTTCTTCTTTCATACTGTATAATGGATCCACAAGTTTATTGTGCACATTCATTACACCTTTAAAGTATTTCAGAGTTTTAACTCTTAATTCTAAAGTAGCATCTTCATCACATGCAAAAATTGTTTGAGGATGTTTATGGAAAGCTGAAATAGTCCACATGTGACTGGCTCCTTCTTCTATTGCTTTGTACAGAGCAAATGCTTTGTGTGCACCTGTTATGAGGATCATTACTTCTCGAGCATCCATCACTGTCCCCACACCAACTGTCAGAGCCATAGTTGTCACTTTTGACAAATCTCCATCAAAATATTTGGCATTTACCAAAATGGTGTCCATTGCTAGTCTTTAATCTTGTCCTTGACACTAAACTGGATCCTGGCTCATTGAAAGCAATATGACCATTGGGACCTATTCCTCCAACAAAAAGATCTATTCCTCCAGTATCTTTAATTTTCTTTTCAAGTGCATCACATTCTGCTCAGTTCAAATCTGCCAGCTGCTCCATGAGGGAATCATGTGGATCTCCTCCCATGTGATTAAACTGCCTCTGAAAACATGCTAAAGGGTTAGCTATGAGTTGGTTCTGATTCAATGGTACACCAACACCACCACGTCATCTGTAATGGCGATTTTCCTCTGAAGTAATCGTTGGCTAACTGCTCACCAAGAGGTTTTGGTTTTTAGTTTTTGTCAAGGAGTTGACTCCAATCATGGTGGCCCCACAAGCAGAGAGTTTAACTACATCGTGCGGCTTTCACGCTGTGATTTCTAAGAGACAGATCGCCAGACCTGTCTTTCAAGCACCTCTGGGAATGTTCAGAACTCCAATCTTTTTTATACAGTAGGGTGCTCAGCCATTAGTGGTATTGGGAGGGGCTTTCTGATCCATTTTGCTTCAGGAAGCTCTGGTTAGGCAATTTCACTGGGGGACTCCTGAGGATCTTTGCGTCTTTCCTCTTGGACTGGGCCATTTTCCTGAAAAGCTTTTCCAGGCTAAGAGGATAAAAGCTGGCTGGCAGGGCTCTGGGAAACACTTGGGAGTAAGTTGGGAGCTGGGGGCCATAACATTCAAAACACACATTGTCATTTAATCTCTTTCTATCCTTCCGGTTACACTGCATGACCCAGTACACAAACTATTAGCAAAGAATAAAAATCTCAACCCCCAACGTTATCACCAACGTCCATGCATTTTGACTTCTAGCGTCTCATAACAGGACCATTTCTTCTGTATTCATCACAGTGAGTCCAATCCAAGTCGCCATCTTCTCCTGCCTAGACCTTTGCAATAACTTCAACAAGTCTTGTCCTCTCCTACCTTTTTATGTCCAGGAGCCAGGGTGGCTCACTTGTATCACTTCCCCATCAGTACCCAGGATCCAGCATTCAAGGCCTCCATGGTCTCGCTTCTCCTTTCCTCTCAGTCCCACCCCTTCTTCACAGTTGGTACATTTATGGTCCCACATATGTCAGTGCCACCGCTTCTATTGCCTCGTCTCTTTTTAAGACTCAGCCCAGTTATCACCTCCCCCTAAAGGTCCTGTAGGCAGGCAGGCCCCTGGATGCTTCTTGGTGGTTCTAGCATGTATCTCACATCAGAGACTGACAGGCATCCCAGGGACCCCGAGGGAAGGCCTGTTCTTGGTACTCTGTCTTGAGTCCAGCTCTGAGTACCAAGAGCTGCTGAGCTGCACTGATCTACAGAGGTCATTGCTGCTTGGACGGTGACAGAGCCTCTCCCTCTCCCTGTGAGCTGTCTGCTGAGGGAAGGGTGGACACTGACCCTTCGCACTGACCCCTTCAAGTTGCCGGCATGTGAGTGAACACTGATCAGCCCTCTTCAGTACCTGTCATGGCACATTCTAGGGAAAGGCAGTGAGGAAGGAACTACCCAGGTCTTTCAGATGCAGCCGTCCAAACCAGCCTCGAGGAACCTCAGCGAACCCCGAGAGGAGCTAGCTCACATGATGCCACCTTCTCAACAGTGTGGTACTACTGGAAAGTCCGTCTGTGTAACAGCACTAACAGGGCAGGACAAAGGGCAGGTGCCCTTCCTGGGGGAGGTCTCTGGTGAGGAAAAATGTGAGTAGTAATGGAGGCAGCTGTCAGGGCAATCGGGGTGGGGCCCTGGAGCCATGCTTTGAGTGCCTGTTAGGAGCACTCCTCAGCCTACTGCATAGAGAGAATCTATATTGTCATGGGGAAAGTGGTTCTCTTGGCCGAGTGCCTTGCTCAAAGGGCCACAGCTAGAAAGTGGTTTCGGAGGGACTGGCTTCAGGACTCCCCAGCCCCAGCTGCACCAGGCAACCTTCCTGCTACCAGGAACAACCATGAAATGTGTTCTGCCTCTGCCATTAACTTGCTGTGTGATTTTGGGGTGTCCTCAGCCTCTGCATGCTGTCCCAGGGCTTGCTCCTGTGAGGCAGTAGAACATATGCTGTCTCAGACAAGGGTTTGCAGAGCATTTGATGTTGAACTAGGGGGATAAATAATACAGATGCTCCCTCCTCAGGGCTAATGTATTCCAGGAACTTCACCTTTGGTGGGAGTGGGGGTGGGAGTGGGGCCTCTGACCTAGTCCCTTCTGTGGGCCCCTGGGAGAGAAGGATGAGGCAGAGGTGGGCAGCTCTGCACCCTCTCCTTTTACTCAGTTTCTGCTTTCTTTCTAGTAACTGGTGCCCCTACCAAAAGTACAAGCTGGTCACTTTCATAGCTGCTTGCAAAACGGAGAAATTTCTCATCCACTCACAGCAGCCATGTCCACAGTCAGCTCCCAAGTGCCAGAAAATCAAAGTCATGTGAGTATGGGGCAGTTCTGGTCACCTCAGCGTGCTTGCCGCCCCCTAGTCTCTGAGCCGGTTCTCCCTCCGCAGGTATCGCATGGCCTCCAAGCCAATGTACCAGGTCAAGCAGAAGGTTCTGGCCTCTGTGGCCTGGAGGTGCTGCCCAGGCTATGTGGGCCCTGACTGCCAGCACCACGGTAGGGCACTTGTGGCTTGCCCCATCTTGCTATAGATATCTACTCTCCCTACTTCCTCCCACCTCAACCTCAGATTCCAGAGGTGGCACAGAGCCCCTGACCCCCAGGGCAATATTCCACAACCTCCCTGCTTTTCTCAGCAGTTCCCATGTCACTCTCGGAGCCTGCAGATCCAGGTGACAGCCACCAGGAACCCTGGGAAGTGCCAGTCAGTGCTGAACATGGTTTGTACCTCTCCTGGGAAGGTGGAAAAATCCCTTTGGACTTCCTGGCTGTGCAGGACGGTGGTCAGGCAGAGTTCTAGTGCCCCTTCTCCTTTGATGAGGGGAGTCATTTTAGGAAAACTAGCCCCTTGAATCAGTAGACGGTCTTTTCTCACCCTCCCTGCTCCACTCCACCCTGGGAAACCCGCGCTCACCACTGCCAGTCTGTAGAATCCACACACATGCCCTTGAGAGGTTGCCTAGGAGCACAGCTTCATCTGGCACTGTCCTTGCCCTTGAACCACACAAGTCCCTAATCAGAGGCATGCCATCACTGGACTTGGATTTTGTACAGATCAAGCCACCAAGAGATACCATTTGTGGGATCTCTCAGGGTTAGGACTGGAGTTGGGGTGGCGATTAATTTCCTGAAATGACCAGCTCCTATTCCTGACAAGTGGTGCCTGGAAGCATGCATTTTGAGGCTATTTCTGTGTGACTGAGAAAGTTGGAATGCCAGGATGTATTAACCATGTCTCCTGGGGTGGGTGTGGGGTATCATCCTCAGGACTCCCTTGCTGTCCTTCCTGAGCTACAGGTGCCTAAGCTTACAGAGCGTCAGCCTGCCTTCCTGCTCCCAACTCCTAAATCTCTGTCCCTTGTGATCTGGGTAGGCCCGGCCTCTGATATGCATTTAGGCTTCCAAGTTGCGGAGATCAGAAAGGTGACACTGCAGCAGGAACATCAGCTGCAAGAACTCCAGAATGATTTTCACCAGTTGGCTGGCAGCCTTGAGGACATATGGACAGCCTCGGAGAGTAATCTCACAGAAGCTACTGCTCAGGCAAATCAAACTGAGCTTGGTGAGTCACATCTGAAGTGTTACCTTCAGGGGAGGCTGCATGCTAGGGATTTCTACTCTTGCAACACACTTACAAATGTGTCTCTGGTGCCTGCAGAGTTGCCCAACAGACCCCTGGAGCAAGTGCTGCGGTCCCAAATGGAGGCCTTTCTACGAGTGCATTTCAGCTCCATCTGGAGGGACTTCAACAAAAGCCTGCACGACCTTTCTCAGACCCTAACAAATCTGTCTCACGATGTGGAAACCAATCGCCTGGCCATCCAGAGGATCCAGGAAAGCATCGTGGCCAGCGCAGACTTCCAGGAGCTTGGTGCCAAATTTGAAAGTAAGGTGCAAGAGACTGTCGAGAGAGTGGGTCAGCTGCGGCAGGATGTGGAAGATCGCCTGCACCTCCAGAACCTCTCCTTGCAACGGTCCCTGGAGGAGGTCCAGGTTAACATGGACACCAAGCTGAAACGATTCTACAAGGCCCAGGAGCTCCTGACACTCAACGGTAGTCTGCTGGCTGTGGTTGGGCTAGGAGCTGGGGCCAGGCCAGAGCCAGAGAGCCTGCAGGCGAGACTGGGGCAGCTGCAGAGGAACCTTTCCAGCCTGCATGTGGACTCGGGCCGCCGGGAAGAGGAGCTGCAGAGGACTCTGGAGGATATTAGGACAACCCTGGCCCAGCACGGGGACGAGATCAAGGAGCTATACTCAGAATCGGATGAGACCTTTGATGAGATTAGCAAGGTGGAGCGGCAGGTGCAGGAGCTGTACGTGAACCACACGGCGCTGCGCGAGCTCCGGGTGATCCTCATGGAGAAGTCGCTGATTATGGAGGAGAATAAGGAGGAGATGGAACGGCACCTGCTGGAGCTCAACCTCACCCTCCAGCACCTGCAGGGTGGCCATGCCGACCTCATAAAGTACATCAAGGACTGCAACTGTCAGAAGCTCTACTTGGACATGGACGTCATCCGGGAGGGCCAGAGGGACACCACTCAGGCCCTGGAGGAGACTCAGGTTAACCTGGAGGAGCGACGGCCTCTGGAAAGCCCCGCCGTGCACGCCCTGCGGGCCGCGATGGAGGACCTCTCCCTGGCGGTGGATGCTCAGAGAGCCGAGGCAGAGCGTGCAAGCGCAGACAAGGCGCGCCTGCGCACTCAGCTGCACGTGTTGCTGCGCGAGGTGGCGGAGCTTCAGGCGGCTGAGGGCTCAGTCCGCGTGCAGCTGCGCCTGCTCAACAGCTCCTTTGGAGCGCTGCTGGAGGACGCCCTGCGGCACGAGGCCGTGCTTGTGGCGCTCTTCGGGGAGGAGATGCTAGAGGCCTTGTCGGAGGATGATCCCAGCCCACTGCCCCTGTCCTATGAGCAGATCCGCCTGGGCCTGCAGGAAGCGGCCAGCGGGCTGCGGGAGCAGGCATTCGGCTGGGCGACCCTTGCCAGCAGGGTGAGCGCCTTGGAGCAGGCCGCCAGCAGCCTGCAGGGCTGGGTCGGTCCCGAGGCAGAGCACCTGGAGCCCAGCCACGAGGTACCGCGCGAGGGGGACCCCAGCGCCGAACGCAGAGATCTGTTTGCACTGAAGGGCGAGCTCCAGCTCCTGGGTGCCCAGGTTCAGCGGGCCGAGCAGTGCTGTGAGGCCTCCAGGGCTGCTGGCAGCAGTGATTCATTATCGGCCCTGGAAAGCGCGCTCTTCACCACCCAGCTAGACTTGGAGCGGCACCAACAGCTCTTCCATAGCCTGTTTGGGAACTTCCAAGGGCTGGTGGCAGGCAACGTCAGTTTAGACCTGGAGAAACTTCAGGCCATGCTGAGCAGAAAGGAGAAGAAACAGAAGGGCCTGAAGGCTCCGGGGACACGGGACAAGAAACAGGCAGAGCAGTCACTCCTCCGAGGCCATGGCCGTGCTTTGGTTACAGATCCAGGCGAGGCAGGTGAGCACTGGGGACAGGGGTGTCTGGGAAGTAGGGATATCTAGCAGCGAGGGTGTTTAGCAGTGGGGGTGTCTCGGCGGCGGGGGTGTCTAGTGGTGAAGCTGTCTAGATGGTGGGGCTGTCTAGCTGTGGGGGTGTCTAGGCGGCAGGGCATTCTACAGGTGAGGTCTTCTAGAGGCGGAGAGGTCTAGGCTGTGGAGTTGTCTGCCTAGGCAGTGGGGGTGTGTGGGAGAATTCTCAGGCCTGTAGTGACGACTTGGGCTCCCACTTAGTACCTAGGACTCAGCCACTCAGAGTGTGTTGATTTTGTTAATTGCTTTCCAACCCCGACTCCTATTCATATCCAATGGAACAAAACGCTGCCTGGTCTCACACATCCTCCACATCCCTACAGTCTGTTACTGAGATTCACCTTAAGGGGCTCATCTTCCAGACCTAGACTGGTCAATACTATGTTGTGATCCAGTTAATTCTTTTTTGACCGATTTTTGGAAGTAGATCAATAGACCTTTCTTCCTGGTCTGTCTTTGGAAGGTCGGCTGAAATTTGTCCAGCATGGTGACCCTGTTAGTCTTTTAAAAAACTGTGATGGTAACACACAGCCATCTCAGTAGAATAGATTGACAGGTAAACCTACTATGGTACATTGTTACCGTCATGTACTGTGGAGTGGGAACTGACCAGTGGTGACCTACCTTCCAGCAAGTTGCACAGGAGGAGATTGCAGAGCAGCTGGTGGATTTGAACTATCTACCTTGGAAGTGGTAGCATAGTTCCTTAGCACTAGACCACCAGAGTTCCCTAGTGTGGTAGAAATGACTGCTTCTACTAGAATCACTGTCAGTGTTAGAACCTGGGAGCCAGTAGAGTCAGCTGGCATGTTAATGTCCATGTCCAAAGCTCAGATATATGCTGTTGGCTCAAGGCTTCCCTGTCACAACTGTAGGGCTGAAGGGGAGCATGCTTCTCCCAGTTCCTGTTACGACCTCATATCCCCCCATCTCAGCTCTTAGTTACAGGTTTTTAAACGAGTGTGCACAAGGAGTTCATTCTCTGTGCAAATATTCCACTCTTCTTTTTGCCTTGTGCTGGGTGTCACGTGGTTCCCTTCTTAGACCTTCCACATGGGAACACCACAGTTCATGAATTATCACCTCTTTTTATCCAGAAATGAGGTACTACCAGGAAAGTGTCTTGCTCAAACAACTATTAGTGGCCCAGAGGAGACCAGGTTGTGCCCTTCCCGGCCCCATGTCTTCCGAAAGGCCCTTAGTGACTAGTCCCCACAGAACCCCAAGCGCTTGGGAGCTGTCTACAAGGCTGAAATTATGTGCTCTCCACCTTTCCATCCCTCTCCTGAGTGGTCCTGAGATGAGACCACTAGGCTCTGTGGCCCTGCTGGCTTTACTTTGACAGAGGCTGAGTGTTGGTGGTGGGGACTGGCACGAGGACCCTGCACTGTCTCTCCAGTGGTGCATGGGCTGGAGGAGTGCTTGCCCACAGAAGCTCCCTCCCCGCTGCATGCTCTCAGGGCTCACCATGTGTGTCTTCTCGAGAGTGGTGGGACTCGATAGTCATTGATTTGCCCTAGTGTCTGCCTCTGTATAAAGGGGAATGAACACATACATCAGACGGTTGTACGTAAGGTAGGTGGTGTTGGCACGCACCAACTCAGGCTTACAGCCACAGTGTTTCATAGAGGCAAGATTGCAACACGTAACCAGCCCACTTTGGACACATCACTAGGAAAGACCAATGACTAGAAAAGGTCGCTGCGGTTATTGGAGGGTCAGCAAGAATGAGATGGGCAGACACAATATCCACAACATTGGTCTCAGAGGCCCATGAAGATGGCTCAGGACCAGGCAACGTTAGGTTTTCTTTGTTTCTGGTTCATGCCTACTTCAGTGACAGCTGGTAATAGTGCCAGTTTGGGATGTTGTAGGACCCCAGCCGATGGTTCCCATTTCCTAACATTTTCAGGCAAGGCTAAAGTCTTGTTCCAGTTTATTTACATTAACTCTCCGTCTTTTTTCTCTTGAGGGTGATTCAGGGCTTCAGTGTACCCATTTCCCTTTGTCTTCTGCAGGAAGTCTGTAGGACTTGAATGTGTGCAGTCACTTGTGAGAGAAGCCTATTCTGGGCCGGACTACCAGCGCAATCCTTCCACCTTTTGCAGGGCTGTGGACACTTCCTGGGTGGGGTCAGCCAGGGCCCGTGCAGGCTGATGGAGCAGGTGAAGGGAGAGTACGGTCGGGTAGAGGGCGCCCCAGTCTTGCCTTCCTTCTGCTGGGATAGTGCACCCCCTCCTGGGTGCTGGAAGAACTGCAGTGCCAGCCCCTTTCCCTGCAACTTGACAGAAGGAAAGCTATTCATGGTTTAGATCTGTTGTTCATAGGGTCACTATGAGTCGTGATAAACTTGACAGCACCTAACAGCAACAGTTCTCATAAAGGGAGCGCTGGTGTCCTAGTGGGTCAGGAGTTGTACTGTTAATCCAAGGACAGATTCAAATCCACCAGCTGCTCTTTAGGAGAAAAATGGGCAGTTTCTTCCCAAGTGATTTTTGAATTCTCAAGCACTCTTTCACAATTAAGGAAGAGTATTTTCATGTAAAAGGCGGTTTCTGCACAAAGAGAGACAAAGGGTCTGGACGCAAGTTCCTGGATCTAAGTCAACAACTTCTGGGCAGGTTGGTCTCTACGAGGTGGGGAGCTTGGTCATAGCTGCAATCCCAAAAAGACTTCCCCCCCTTGCTATTCTGGCCCGCTCTTTCCAAGCTGAGCAGTTGGAACACCCCCTTCCTCACTGCATTTCCTCACTCTTCACGCACAACGTGCTCCTGCATCTGAGCCTCCTGCCTGTGTCCATCTCATCTCAGCAAAGTGCTTGTCCATGTGCAGACGTGTCTGCTCTCAACTCAGCCATTTATTAGCTGTGTGATCTGGAGCAAACAGCTTTCCTTCTCTGGGCCTCAGTGTTCCCATCTAACATTGCAGGGTTTCAAACAGTAAGATCTAATTTGAAACCTAGGTGGAAAACCTGCATCTCTAAGAAACTTTTCTTTCTTGGCTCCACCTGCTTCTTCCTTACTCAAAATCCGCATCAAACATGCAGCAGGAGTACGTTCACTGTTCCTTACTCATCTCACTAGTGACAGTGATGCCTCAAGATCCCGAGTAGATAGTAGTCGGGTGTCAGAGATGAGGGTTCCTGTGTCAGCCTGACTTTTGGCTCCAGACTCTCTAAGTTTTCTCATCTGTAAAGCTGGAGTATTTGTCTCTCAAGAACATTGGTAGGAAAAGGCATCAGAGAGGAAATGCTTTGTTAACACGTTCACCAGTCTAGATAACAGACTTGTCCTCTGTTTAAGGATATACTGTGCACTGGCCACTCAGCTCCTGCTCCCTAAGGTGTTGCTAATGGCTGTTACCAGTTGACCTATTTCTTCATTTCTTGGCTTATTACTCTTTGAAATAAAGCTGACAACGCAAACAATTCTTTACATATACCATTTAGTAGCATTGATTATATGCTTCAAATTGTGCAAATACAAACTTACCGTCCTCTTAAGTTACACATGTAAACTCTCCAGTTGCTGTTGTCAGTTGGATCCCTGATAGATCATTCTTAAGTGATCACCATGTTCAGGACAGATATTCTTTACTAGAGTCAGGGGCTATTACTGACTGAAGCTTTAAAGATCATCTCAGACAGTAGTTTTAAGGGTTCATCCAGCCTTTATGGCTCCAGAAAGTCTGAATTCCATGAGAATGGTTCATTCTCTTCTGCATTTTTACATTCCCTTCCTTCTCTGATGAGGTTTTTCCATAGAATCCTTTATCAAACTATTCAAGCACCATTCTGGTTTTCTAGTCAGTGACTTATTGCTAATGCTGACAAGTTGAGACAGCAGGTGTTGGGGCTTAACTTCTCATGCTGTTTATACCCTGAGCACTTTCCTCCTGTACTTTCAGGTTTTCCTGTGGCCTTCTATGCCAGCTATTCAGAAAAGACGTCTGCCTCAAAGACTGTGAAGTTCAACACGACCTACATCAACATTGGCAGCAGCTACTTCCCGGAACATGGCTACTTCCAAGCCCCTGAGCGTGGGGTATATTTGTTTGCTGTGAGCATCGAATTTGGTCCAGGCCCAGGGACTGGACAGCTGGTGTTTGGAGGTCACCATCAGACCCCAGTCTCTATTGTTGGGGACCAGAGGAGTGGAAGCCCAGCAGTGACTTTTGCTCTAGCTGAGCTGCAGAAGGGGGAGAGGGTGTGGTTTGAGTTAACCCAGGGACTGGTAACCCCTAGGGCCCCTACAGCCTCTACATTTGGAGGCTTCCTGATCTTCAAGACCTAAACCTGCACAGCTCTGATGGCTGCTTAGGACTTGTCAAGCACCACCTCCCCCCGACCCAGCCGGGGCTCCAGCCACGGATGCTTTGAAGAACATCTGTTCACCTAGCTTTTCCTAGAAATTTACTGAAGAACAGTGTGCTCTGTGTGCTGTGTGTGGGCTTGCTCTAGATACACTGGATTTTAGTTTTGGGGTGTTTCCCCCCTTTGATTTGTGTGAATGTTTACAAAATATATTGTGAGGTGTTTTGTTTTATCTTTCTGTCAATCAGTTAATCATATTTTGTTTTATAATATTAATTACAATATACACAATGTTATTGTCCATTCATTCCACATTGTCCTTCCCTTCAAATTCTAATTTTTCTTAATGATGTGGAGTGGAATGTTCTTTGTGGGCAGGACCTGGCTGAAGGAGCAGTGTGATTCCAGTGCTCGAGACACTAGTTCTTTGTCACCTCCATCTTTGCTTAAGATCTTTTTTTATGTTTTGCTCCGGTGACTGGAAAGGCTTTAAAACTTTCTCCCCTTTCTCTTTTTAATTTTATCCTAGAAAGCTATTCTTTCACAGAAGAAATATGTTTTAATTGCTGTGTATATGTTGTTGAGTCAAGTACAACTCCTAACAAGCCTGTGAGCTGCAGATCTGAGCTCTGTCCTATCCTGTGCTGTCCTCACCATTTCTGACATACTCCAGTCTATTGCTGCAGTCACTGTGTGAATCCCTGTACTTGAGGGTCTTCCTCTCCTGCGGTATTCCTCTGCCTTCCCAAGCGTGATGTCCTTTTCCCAAGGAATAGCACCTCCTAACAACCTGCTGCCCAAAGTATGTCAGATGTTTACCATGTTTAATGATGTTTAATTAGTGGGGACATTTTGGACTACATTCATTCTAACTTTAAAGGAAAACAGACTGTAGTGACCAGAGAAGTATGAGAAAGCCAATTCTGGTCACCAGCAGTCTGCCTGGTTGGAGTTAACTGAGGGAGCTAAAACATTGGTATTTTAATTTCCTTTTCTCCTTGCCTCACACAGAGGACAAGATATGTCAAACTTTAACTAAAATGTGGGAAACTTTCACTCTTCACTTTCCCCAAGAAGGTAAGGCCATCCTAGTTTTTGTTAGTATTTCTAACTAGGGTAGGAGCTGATGGAAGAAGTGACAGAAAACTGTATGTTTCTCTTTTAATTATTAACAATTTTGGCATATCATTTTTCCTTCAAACCTCTGTTTTACTTTTGAAAAAAGCAATAGCATTTTGGTAAAATGGAAAAATGTGGCAAAATGAAACTATTTGGGATAAACATGATTTTCATTATTCCACACTTCACAACTTCAGATAATTTTACATAAGACATTTCAAGGCCTCCTGAGTAAGCAATCACTTTATGAAGTGGTGACAACTCAGAGTTGCAATTATTCCTGCATTTAATAATAAATGCTGTTAAAATGAATAGATTCTATAGTGAATAGGCTTTAAAAATTGTCACCTTGTTGTTGTTGTTATGTGCCGCCAAGTTGCTTGCTACTCACAGCGACCCTATGTACAAGAGCCCTAAATGCCGTTCTATTCTGTGCCAACCTCGCCGTCTCTGACACACTCATTCCTACCACCCCAGTCACAGAATTGATCCATCTCATCGAGGGTCTTCCCCTCCTCTGCCGTCCCTCCACTCTCTGAAACATGATGTCCCTCTCCAAGGACCAAACCCTCCTTGCAACATGCCCAAAGTATGTCAGATGAAGCTTCAGAATCCTTGACTCCAGGGAACATTCCAGCTTCACCCTCTCCAGGACAAACCTGTTTGTTCTCTTTGCAGTCCATGGTATATTCAACACTCTTCTCCAGCACCACAACTCAAATGCATCAATTCTCTTTCTGTCATCCCTATTCACTGTCCAACTCTCCGATGCATAGCAAGTAATTGCAAAGACTATAGCCTGGATCAGGCGCACCTTAGTATCCAGCTTGACGTTGTTGCTCTTCAGTACTCTTGAGCAGTCCCTCACAGCCGACTTTCCCAATGCAATTCATCTCTTGATTACCTGGCTGCTGTTACCAAGATTGTTGACTGTGGAGCCAAGTAAACTAAAACTGTTAACTATCTCAATCTCTTCACCATCCATACTGATGCTGCCAATTGG